CTCTGATAACACTGTTGATTAACGCTGCACTCTGTTTTATCTAAAACTCAGCCCTCAATGAGTTAATTATTGGTCACCTCATTCTCTGTTTGAGCAAATCTCTTATCTCGAGATTTCCCCATAATTTTTCTTCCCTTACCTACCTACTTAGTGGGTGCTAGCTCTGTTCCCTCCTAATTGGGATATTAACTATAGTCTCCACCCCCTTTTCATACATGAAATAAAAAATGTTTTTCTAACCAGGTTAGAAGAATGAGAAAGGATTTCTTCACTCCCACATCTCCCAATCTCTTGCTACTTTGTGAGATTAATTCAGTCAAGGTTGCAATGTTATTGCCCTGCTAAAACTCTTTTACTAGTGAGAGTGAGAGTGGGGGAGAGAAGAGCCGACACAATTAACTCGGCATATCTATATGAGCTGAAGTCGGACTATATCCGGAAGTGGTGTATGAGATTACTTGTTGGTAGTTGCCGAGTTCTTTGCACATGGAAGAACGAATAATGTACGTGCGGACTTTTGCAGGCATCGGCATAAAAGCCACTGTGAGAAATAAATACACACGCACACACACACACACACACATGTGAATTTAGCTCATTTGGTAATTCATAACTGGTCTTGCTGAACAGTTCGTTGCTGATTGGTAATTTATGCATGGTGTCTGTTTATCAACAATAGATTGCGTGAAGTAGGGGTTAAAACAGAGTAGGCTACGATATTTTAGAGAAGGATTAGAGAGAAACGAAAAACAAAATAAGGTGTTCATTAGAAAGCCCTTTCACTAGTGATATAGAGTTGGGCAGTCACTAGCTTAATTATGATTTTCCCATTGCGGTCATAATAAGACAATAGTTGCCGGACTGAGAAGAAGTAAGAAAGGACGCTTATGACTTCAATGGTGAGTTTAGTTGTTCTGGCACTAGCGCCAGATCCACCACTTGATAGCCCACTTCACGATTGATTAAGCTCATGTAATTCCCTCAAGTGCATCGAAAGTAATCCAATCGACTGCCTAAGAAATCTTTATATATTTTTTAGATTATTTTTTTCTGTTATGGTGAGTGGTAAAAGTGTGTGTCAACTCTTAAATGAGGGTAAGTTTATAATATATCCAACATGATGCATGAAACAATAAAATGTACTAATTAACAGTCGTCAACTACAGTTGAAGGATCGCATCCACGTTAACACATTGTCGTGCAGATGTTGCGTGGAGATACGTTAAGAAGAAAACTCAAGAATTAATTCTCTCAACCTACACGTGGAGAAAACAAGGTGGACAGGAAAACACAGATGGATAATTTCTTCAAGTTTTCAGCTAATTTATTTGGGGGTGTGGGGGGAGGATTTTTGGCCACATTGGTTCTGCTCTATCTACTTAATTTGAATATGTGGGGGTGATCTTCATAATACGGAGTTAAATTAGTAAATATATTGGATAGAGTGTTATTATTTGCCGATTTGTATAAAGTGTCGATAATTAGCAGCAGCAGGTATTCTTGCCTTTTTAACAACATGGATAGTTTTAACCATTTTTTCTGACGTTAATTACATCATTATTAAGAACGTTGAGTTTCTGCTAAAACGCCACTACTATTATCCCTCATTGGCGCTTTCAAAAAGCCGATTATTCTAAATTCGATTAACTTCGATTTCGTTACCCGCAAACTTTCATGCAAACTTTTAGAAAACTTATTTTACACTTTTCTGTGGCTTGGCTTCATTTGTGCTGTTTTGTAGGTGAAGAAACTGAAATGAGTCAAGGCGATATACATACTAGCATTATTTATTTATTTACATAGTATTTTAAGATAAAGTCAATTTCTGATTGGTCTGCGAGTATTTCTGATAGATCGAAATACTTCTGTTTACTCAATAAAAGTAAATATTCTTCTGTGCTGCCTTAAGAAAGGCAGGAATAGAATTCGACTTATGTTTACAGGGCCTGCAGCCCGAAGACCAAAAAGAGAATGGTCACAAAGTCTTTGTGGATTCGAAAGTGGCCTATGTATCTCAAGGCCCATCACTTAAAGGGGATGTGGAGGGGGGGGGGGGGGGTGGTCATGAAAGCAACTCAATTGAGAACTATAAGACGGTGACCATGAGATTTTCCTATTCAATCATTTCGCAGATCAGGCAATATACTCTGAGGCACGGTAGACTGCTTTCATTTGTTCTAATTTAGCCTCCTGTTGGGTTGATGTTGTGTATGGTAATGATAGCTAAATGGCGACAAATGGAAACGCAATTTTTGCCGCTAAATGTGACGAATAGGCAAAAAGATAAGATAGAAAAGAAAACAAATTAAGTCACATCAGCATCATCTACCTGTCCTTGGCTATAGATGAATCAAAATTATATAAGCAACTGCTTTATGCAAATGGTTAATGTATTGTACTCATCGTGGAGGCGAGTCCACCAGAGGACTTAAGCATACGTAATTTGGAAATCTAACTTTGAAAAATTAAAGATTGTGATATCGAATATAAGAAGAAGTGAATTTGAATATTGCAGGAATCTTTATTACTGTTTGCCAATTGGATTCCAACCCGCCCCCC